AAAAAAAAACAGGAAATATTACCACAAGGCAGGCAGTTTTTCTTGTTTGCTTTGAGAAGATCAATGGTGGATCAGACAGGTTTGTTGGATAAATAATGTATATTGTGTTCAGTCTTTGGTGTCACTTGGCAGAGCTGGTGTTATCTATTTCTTTCGTTTTACTTCAATCGTGTGTGAATCCAATCTAACAAATGACCACCTGATTTTACAGTAGAATAATTCCTAGATTTTCAATGTTTGCAGTTACTGTATATCATCAACAATCGTTTGAATAGAAAATATCTAATGTGGAAAACGTTCTTCAGTTCTGTTACTATTTCTGACAATTATTTAATTACTGTAAACTTTCAAAATGTCAAATCTGTTCAATTATTTTCACCGACGAGTGTTCACACCAAATCGCTGATAAATGAAGAAATTTTCCGTACTCGAAGATGTGATTTTATAAACGCGACAGTTTCAAAGCTGTTCAATAATAGAAACATATAATAATAATTGAACAGCGTTGAATAAAAATGTCAACAATTATAAAAGAGCAGCGTGTGTGTGAAAAGCATTCGACAATTTCGACAATAAAGAAAACGATGCTAGAAGATTGAGAAAGAAATGCTTTGGAGGAAATAAAACATTTCCAGGAATAAGGAAACATCAAGAAAGATAGTTCCAACATAGGGACACTAGAAGAAAAAGTTATACGCCAAGAGAAAAAGAATTAATCAAAAATAACTCGAGGCAGCAGCAACGGTGGGATTCTAGCAGCGGAAATAATCGCAAAGACATCAAAAGTGAATTTCAACAATTAATCCTGTTCTTCTCGCTTCTCTTTTACGTTTGTACATCTCTTTCCTTGTCTCTTTGAAATATTCTATTCTAAAAGGAAGCATGGGATACACAAACGTTGGACAAAGTTACATTGGATATTTAAACTAAGTGTTTAAAAACCTATATTTCATCTAATGTATTCTAATTTTAAAATCCACATTCTTTAATCTATATTTGAATATTATTTGTTGAAACATAACATCCGGTTTGAATCGTTAACTCCTTACTATACAGTGAATTAGAAAAAAACTAGAAATTCAGGAATATTAAAAACAGAATAGAAAAAAAAATACAAAGATTTATGTATTATGCCATACTGAATTTCATATTAATTACAAATTTCTGCACAACTTTTTTTTTTTGTTAAAATAAAAATTTATGTCTCGACAAGTCGAAAGGTCCGTTTGTAAATGATGTTCTTAGAGGACGACTTTCTCCCTGAAAAAAAAATCTGTGACACAAATATTAAAAGAAATGACGAAATGCTGGGTGAAACAACGAACCAGTTGACGTCGTCGACAAAGTACTCGAGAAGATCGCGCCAGGTCGGCGTTGTTCGATCAGCGGACGGAAGGGTGATACAACCGAAGAAGGAGGACGAGAGAGGAAGCGTGGTTTAACGCGCGGCGATCTGCCCCGCGAAGCTATCGAAAGATCTCAGAAGTGGTCCGGAGGGGATCAAGCAGCCGCCGAGGCTAGCTAGCGGGCAGAAGTTCGATGCGGAGAGAGATTTGGCTCCGTTCGGAGCCAGAGTTTACTCCCATTGCCAGATTCGAGACGGCTGCGAGTTGAAAACCCCGGCACCTATCCTAGCCGACCCATTAGGGCTATCCAATTTCTTTCGTTCGCCCCGACTTTTCTTCCCTGAAGGCTGATCCTCCTCGTCTCGTCTCCTTTCCTCTCCTGTCTCTGCCCGCTTCGTCCTCTTTAAACAATCGGATCTATCCGTGGAAAAATAAAATTGAGAGAATACTCCGTATCCCCCGGGCTAAGTAGGGTTTCCATGGGATATTTCTAATGGCGAGGAGCGAGCGAACGGCAGCCTCGCCCTTCAGAATCGTTTTACTCTTCACCGAAGCCAGATTACGCGACACCACACTTACGTTCTTATTTTATTCATCCCTTCTCGTCTCCACTCGTTGATACGTACACACATTACGTACAGCTGCGTGAACGTAGCTTGCCTTAGAAATGACTGATTTTCGCGTAATACCCCTTATCTGGAGCTTCAATTAGACGGTACACTGCGCCATGATAATCTTTAAACGAACCAATTACCGTTCTCGGTGCTTTGGATAATTTACTTGCGCGTGCTGCTACCGGTGGCGATGGTAGGATGCGATAGATGGGATTAAGTAGACGATCCTCTACGGCTGTCTAGGCTATCTGCGGCCGAGGGGAACAATGATAATAACGTCAGTGTTGCGTAGACTCTGTTAGTAGTAGGTCCGATCGTCGAGGAATTTGTATAGGAACGCGGTTGTATACAACAAGACGGCGGTATTCGTGCGGAGGAAGATTTAACCGGTTAAACGGAGAGAACCTCTTTTAGAAGTAAGCAACTCTTTCATATTGCCCCGGCGAACTACCGGTAGATAAACTTTGGTTGTATCAACGGTCTATGTACAATGGCAAATAACATCGGCAGGAACGCGGGCTTTTTTCCCCGCCGCGAGTTCGCAACGTTTCTCCCATCTTAACCATTGTACGAAACTGCGCTTTCAAGAATATAACCGACTGTAACGATTGCAATCATGTTACTCGAGTTAACTGTAACGGCGTAACACGAAATCCGTGCTTGTCCGTCCTCTTTCTCTCTTTC